CTTATTCCTTGCCAACAAATAATAGCAATCAGTTGGAAAACGATCACCTGCTGGACGCCACAGGAATAAGTGGGATAATACAGGAACTAGAACATATTCAGTGAAATGGAGCTTATTGGAAGAAAAACAACTCCTACCTGTGCAATGCCACATTTGCTAACTCAGGAGTGAATCCAGTGAGTTCAACAATACATGTTTCCAGGCTACACAGTACAGGTTCCAAAGTACATGTCCTAATTCTCCCTTTAGAGATTATCGATGAAATGAATATTTGACCCATGGATTGCATAACTGGTTTCATGGAATTGAACGAGTTAAGTATCAATGAAGCTTATTTTGATCATGGTCAAGTGACAAAATAGGATGAAATGGGTTGTGGGCAATACGCTGACTCTGTAAACCGCTTAGAGAGGGCTGAAAGCCCTATGAAGCGGTATATAAGTCTAACTGCTATTGCTATTGCTATTTATGAAGAGCGAGCTTAGAAATCGGGGCCACTTTTCAGGCCTTCAGGTAGAATGATAAAATGCAACGGGAAAAGAAGATCAGAGGAATGGGAAGAAGCCACCGCAGCTAAAATAAGAATAATCCAGCGTAATCCCCAAATTTGCCAGATGAATCGAGCAGGACTATTTTCCAAGCAACCTTTTCCAAGCAGGATAACGGAATATTTCTAGAGAGAGGCTAAATTTAAGGACCCCTTTAGCAGAAATTGAAGTAGGGGCAAGAGGCCAGCTGTCAAAACAACAACAACAACAACCCACCTTTGAAATAATGGTTATAAACCAGTGTTTTCTCAACCTTGGCGACTTTAAGTCCAGTGGACTTTGACTCCCAGAATCCCCCAGCCAGCTTAGCTGGCTGGGGGATTCTGGGAGTCGAAGTCCACAGGACTTAAAGTCGCCAAGGTTGAGAAACACCGCTATAAACACTGTAGGCGCCCCCAAGCTGTTAAACCGCTAACCTTTTGACGCCAAGAAATCAGGAGGGAAGTTGTGTGATCTGGAAAAGATTTGGGTACATCATCCGTAGCAAAGAAAGGAGAGGCGAGAAAAATGCGTGCAGATCAGTGCATCGGTGCGTGGTTTCCACGCAGAAGGCAAGTGGGTTTTAATCTTGCAAAGGCAGAACAGACACACACACACACACAAAGAAATGCCGAAACAAACAAGGAAAGGTTAAAAATTAAAAAAAGATGATTTTTGCTCCATTGAATCCGGCAAGACTTTTGATGGCACAGATCACACAGCTCGAACCAGAAAGCGGAATAGAGCAAAGCTTTGTGTTGTGTGTGTGTGTGTGTTGTGTGTGTGTGTTGTGTGTTGCGTGTGTATTCAGGGTGCCAAAATACTTGGATTCTTCTTCCGAGGAACCTTGACAAGGGCAAGGATGGAGGGACCATGCTTGGAAAAGCAGAGCAAAGAAGAATGGGCCTTTTGTGTGCCTGAATCGATTTAATTCACAGAATATACAGGCGGTCCTCTACTTACGGCCGTTCGTTTAGCGAACCTTGAAGTTATGACGGCGCAGGGGGGAAAAGGGACTACAGGACAGTTTTTCACGCTGACGGCCGTCGCAGCAGCCCCATGGTCACGTGATTTGCATTCAGACGCTTGGCAACTGACTCACGTTTACGACGGTTCCAGTGTTCAGGGGTCACATCAATTCCTGTTTGCGACCTTCCGACAAGCAAAGTCTATGGAAAAGCCGGATTCGCTTAACGACCGTTTTGCTAACTTAACGACTGCAGCGGATTCGTCTTAACAACTACAGCAGGGAAGGTCATAGAGTGGGACAAGGCTCACTTAACCAAATTCGCAAATTTTGGAGCTCGGTTGTTGTCAATGAAGCTATTGTAAGAATGGCAAGAATGAAAGAAAGAAGAGTGGGAATAAAAATTGGAGGTCGAAACGCAAATGGGAATCCAGCCAGTAGCCCTGGACTTACGACCGTCCATTTAGAGACTGTTCAAAGTTACGATGGCACTGAAGAGAGAGACTTATGACCGTTTCCCACACAACTGTTCCAGAATCTTCATGGTCAGGTGATCAAAACTGGCAACTGACTCATATTTATGACGATTGCAACATTCCCGGGATCATGTGATCCCCCCCCTTTTGCGACCTTCTGACAAGGAAAGACAATGGGGAAGCCAGATTCGCTTAAAACCATGTCACTAAATGATCAACTGCAGTGATTCACTTAAGAACTGTGTGGCAAGGAAAGGTTGTAAAAAGGGGCAAAATTCACTTAACAAATGTTTCACTTAGCAACAGATAGTTTGAGTTCAATTGTGGTCGCAAGTCGAGAATTACCTGTATTTACAATGTTTGCAGCTACCCAGCCAGCTTCCAAAAAAGCAAAGTCAATGGAAGTAGGCGGATTCACTTAAAGGCGGTCTGGAATGATAGGATCTCCTGCCTGAGCACGGGGCTGGACTAGATGACCTCCAAGGTTATCTGTTATCTGATTCCCTTAACAACGGCAGGCTGAACAACCGTGGCAGAAAGGGATGTAAAATTAGGTGTCACTTAAAAACCAAGGAAGGAGAGAAGGAGAGAAGAAAGGAGGGAAGGAAGGAGGGAATGTAGGAGAGAANTAAGTATTGTAGCACCTTAGGATTCTTGATGAATGTATCTTGTCTTTTTATGTACAGTGAGAGCATCTGCACCAAAGACAAATTCCTTGTGTGTCCAATCACACTCGACCAATAAAGAATTCTATTCTATTCTATTTTATTCTAATTCTCTTCTTCTCATCCAATTATAATTCTATTCTATTCTTATTTTACTCTATTTTATTCTAATTCCATTCTTCTCATCCAATTATAATTCTATTCTATTCTTATTTTACTCTATTTTATTCTAATTCTATTCTTCTCTTCTCATCCAATTATAATTCTATTCTATTCTTATTTTACTCTATTTTATTCTAATTCCACTCTTCTCATCCAATTATAATTCTATTCTATTCTTATTTTACTCTATTTTATTCTAATTCTATTCTTCTCTTCTCATCCAATTATAATTCTATTCTATTCTTATTTTACTCTATTTTATTCTAATTCCATTCTTCTCTTCTCATCCAATTATAATTCTATTCTAATTCTATTCTGTTCTCCAAAGAATATCCGGTTGGCATTCACAGCCAATGATTACGGGAAGTAATTCAAGCTGAGAAGCGGTGGAAGAGGAAACAAGGGGGAGAAAGTTCATTCTAAGCCAGTGACTCTGTGTCAGGAAGACTACAGCTGGAGTAAAGAAGGAGGATCTACCTGGTGAATTGTGGCATCGGAAGCGGAAGGGGTTCCATTTCCAAGGCCGGGGGACTCACCTCGTACTGGAGTTTCTGTTTCCCGGCGGGCATGCCGGTGGCCTCGTGAATCTTCACCTTGATGACGGAAACCTGCGGGCCAAAGGAAACAGGCGCTCTTTAGGAAAAGATGGTGTAAGCATCAGGGAAGAATCAAAAAAAGCCCCAAGGATTTTGCCATGATTGGGACGCGGTGGCTCAGTGGCTAAGACGCTGAGCTTGTCGATCAGAAAGGCTAGCAGTTCGGCGGTTCGAATACCTAGTGAGCTCCCGTGACTTGTCCCAGCTTCTGCCAACCTAGCAGTTCAAAAGCACGTTAAAAAATGCGAGTAGAAAAACAGGAACCACCTTTGGTGGGAAGGGAACAGCGTTCCGTGCGCCTTTGGCGTTGAGTCATGCCGGCCACATGACCACGGAGGCGTCTTCGGACAGCACTGGCTCTTCGGCTTTGAAACGGAGATGAGCACCGCCCCCTAGAGTCGGGAACGACCGGCACATAGGTGCGAGGGGAACCTTTGCCCTTATTTTGCCATGATGGAAAGTTAAGAAGCACCCGGACGAACTTTAAACACAGGAATTCCTTGACTTAAACCATTAGTGGCCATCTGAAGTTACACTGGGGTGGGGGCTCCTCCTCCAGGACTCGGATCAAAGCGGGTTACAACTGAGCGCAATGTTTCTTGCTCTGTATAAATGTGTTTTATTTTCCATTTTCATTTCGTACAGTCACATATATACTGTGCATAACCAGGGCCATATAACATTA